AATCAGTCTTATAATTAATTGGTGATGTAACAAAAAAAAAAATCCTAAATCTTTTATTAGTTTTATAAAAGGAATTTATTGGGCCAAAAAAAAACAAAAAACTGTGATGCTCTGAAAAGCTACCTTGCAGACATATTACACCTAATATAGCAGAAATGTTATAGATGATTTTAATTTTTCCTTGAGTAATAAAATTAGAGAAAATATAAGTAGCGTGATAAATGGAGTGTGATAATGCAATGAAAAATAAATAAAGTTTTGATATATGTGCGCGTGTTTGTATATATAAAAATTAAACTTTGCAATTGGTATATATTTTCCATTATCCCCTATCAGGTCCACCATATTTTTCTATACAGATACTCTTTATGCTGAACAAACAGGCTATATTTTAAGATAAGACATTTAAATTGCAGCAGAAGGTAAACCATTAATTAATCAAGAACGTTCCTTTGGAATTCCTCCTTGATTAAGGTATTGATTTCCCTCCAGCAGCATATTAAACATCTATCTTGCCAATAAGGACTTTTCATGTACTGTCCATCAGCACGTGAAAGAGATTTGTGTTCAAGAATATGGCAACCATTTCTGCTTAAAGCCACAGAACCCCCTGTAGGTAAGTATCACATAAAGCAGTGATTTTATATTAATAGTGGTGTTCATAAAAAAAAAGTATGCATTTATATAATTTTAATTTAAAATGCATTACTTTTCAAATTTATAAAACTATTGTGAAGTTCAAAGTTATTAGGATTATACAGACCCCTTACCTTGCAAGGGTCTAAAATAGAAATGGTATATATTTTTTTACAAGTATATATATTCATGTACAAGTGTGGCAAAAATTCTAAAATATCCTGCTTGTGACTATTTGTAAGAAACTTTATGACATTGTCAGCAAAGCATCTTTGCATAGTTTGCAAATGTTTGCAGAGCATGGAAATGCTGAACGTCAGTGCAGCACTGACCCAGGTAGCACTTCTAGCAGCCATCTCAGTGACTAGAGGTGTTCCTAGGCTATAATTTAAATGCCGCCCTTTCACTCAAAAGGAAGTGTTTACATTAATAAGCCTGCAGGGACAGGCTGCAAACACCAGAACAACTACGTCCCTTTAATATTTGGTTTTAATTCATGGTTGACACACAAATAATAACCCTCCATCATTATTTTTTTTTTTATCCTTCCGAAATAATGTGTAATCATTAAAGTTAACTGCCCAGTCATGTCCCACCATGTTTCCGTTATACCTATAATGTCATATTGTTTAAGTATTTTGTTATCTAGGCTCCTTGCATTAGCAAGCATACATTTAGTGTTGCCATAAGCCCCCAGTGCATGCATTTTTTTGTATTACATACTACATCTGGCCTGATCTTAACCTTTCCTCATCTCCACCACACTTGGCCTGAGCTAAATCCCATTTCCTTTCTTTTCTATCTTCATTTTATAGACTTCTGTGTCCATAGTGTCACTAGTTTAAAATCTCATCCAACCGTCTAGACATCCTATCACCCGGCACACCAGACCCTTTCCTATTTAGGTGAAAATAGGATCCTGCCTCCGACCCCCCCAACCACCCGGCCATGTGAGAGTGAGGTCCTTGCAATGCCTGTAATGACAGTTAGTCCCCCTGCTGGCTGGAAATCAAATAAATTAAAGTTAAAATCAGTGTAATTTTTTTTTTATATATATACTTAGATCATATATATATACATACACATACACTGTATAGGTGTATTTTACTATTAATATAAATAGCGAGGGCTTGCACTCTTGGTGTAATCCTTTGGTGCCCGGTGCTGGTCTGGCAAGGATCATGTAGACATAGCAGAAATTACCGCACTCCAAGGACTTTATAGAGATTTTTAAATTTTTTTTAGCTTTTATTCAATCCATTTAAAAAGTCAACGTTTCAGTTCCCACATGGAGCTTTCATCAGGACAAAACATAACTTACAAGTGCAGACACAAAGAAATATATACCCCCAATCCCTCAAAATAATTTACCTTAATTGTGTACTCACCTAGCCATGAGACAGCTTGCCCTGCATTAGAGAGTAATGTATCTCTGAGTGTGGTGGCCATGTGTGCAAGTAGCTACTAGGCCACAAGGCGGAAAGCAACCAGTCCAGTTGGATTGTTACTTATTAACCTGTAGCCCCGCCCCTTTTCTGGGCCTTGCACACATGGCCACCACACTCAGAGATACATTACTCTCTAATGCAGGGCAAGCTGTCTCATGGCTAGGTGAGTACACAATTAAGGTAAATTATTTTGAGGGATTGGGGGTATATATTTCTTTGTGTCTGCACTTGTAATTATGTTTTGTCCTGATGAAAGCTCCATGTGGGAGTTGAAACGTTGACTTTTTAAATGGATTGAATAAAAGTTAAATTTTATTTGAAAATCTCTATAAAGTCCTTGGAGTGCGGTAATTTCTGCTATGTTTACTATTAATATATATATTAGTATCAAATTACACGTAGACTGATACTGATTAAATATATATATATAATTATTGTTATATTTATATATAATATAAAAAATATGTAAATACGTTAAAAAAATTATAAAAAATAAATAATTAAAAAATATATAGATGTGTGTTATTTCATTCTAACTGTATTGTGATATTAATATATATATATATATATATACATATATATATTTATATAAAAATACACGTAGAACAAAATAATATATATTTCTATATACATAAATATATACGTATATATCACTATATATATACCTATATACAGTTGCAAGAAAAAGTATGTGAACCCTTTGGAATGATATGGATTTCTGCACAAATTGGTCATAAAATGTGATCTGATCATCATCTAAGTCACAACAATAGACAATCACAGTCTGCTTAAACTAATAACACACAAAGAATGAAATGTTGCCATGTTTTTATTGAACACACCATGTAAACATTCACAGTGCAGGTGGAAAAAGTATGTGAACCCTTGGATTTAATAACTGGTTGAACCTCCTTTGGCACAATAACTTCAACCAAACGTTTCCTGTAGTTGCAGATCAGACGTGCACAACGGTCAGGAGTAATTCTTGACCATTCCTCTTTACAGAACTGTTTCAGTTCAGCAATATTCTTGGGATGTCTGGTGTGAATCGCTTTCTTGAGGTCATGCCACAGCATCTCAATCGGGTTGAGACACCATAAAACCTGTACATGGGGGTACTGTTTTACTCGGGAGACTTCGCTGAACACAAATATTAGTTTCAAATGAAAATTACCCCTATGATGGCATACCATTTGCAATAGTAGACAACCCAAGGTATTGCAAGTGGGGTATGTCCAGTCTTTTTAAGTAGCCAATTAGTTTTTTGCATTTTCAAATATTAACACAAACTTTTTGGCCAGTGTTTGTGACCAAGTGGCTACTAAAAAAGACTGGACATACCCCATTTGCAATACCTTGGGTTGTCTACTTTTGCAAATGGTATGCCATCATGGGGGTTATTCTTATTCCTGGGCTACCATATGGTCTCAAAGGCAATATAACCTATCTGGCAAATTTCAATGTGAAAAAATGTAACACGCTATATTTGACCGTATAACTTCCCAAAACACCATAAAACCTGTACATAGGGGGTACTGTTTTACACGTGAGACTTTGCTGAATACAAATATGTGTATTTTATTGCAGTAAAAGCAAACGGTATTATGACATTGACAGTTAAAATGACATGTAGGGGGGGCGTGGCTAACCGCCGAGCAAGATGGACGCTTAGCAATCTGCTCCGGCACATGGTCTCCATTAATCTAACATCACAATAAAGCTAAAATCCTAAAAATTACTGAACACAATATGGCTAACTCCAAGGCGAAAAAGGCAGCCACCAAAGCCGAAAAAATTTGCTTTTTTTGACAGAAACAGGCCTTCATGGTGGACACCGCGCGGGCGGCTGCCCAAGATGGCGCGGATGATTCTGAATCTAACCATATGCCTGCATACCCAGAAGACTCCCACCCTAATGAACACCTCAAACGGGTGAGATACGAACCAAGATAGACATAGTCTGCATACAGAAAACAAACTTTGCCACCAACCACATCCCTACATTTGCCACTAGAGAATATCCGACACAATACCATGCAACACACAAGTCTAAGTCCAGAGGGGACTCAATTCTGCTGCATAACTCCCTAACTGAAGAAACACTCAGTATCAACAAAGACGACCAGGGACGATTTGTGATCCTACACTGCATAATCAACAATAGCCCACTCATCTTAGTATGTCTCTACAGCCCAAATGACCAGCAACACAACTTCCTACATAAAGTCCTTAACAAACTACCGGCTGATTCAACTGTCCCTACGATTATCTGCGGTGACTTTAATAACATCATGGACTCCCGCATAGACTCAACAACCCCCATCACATCGACCAGACACCACAAGCTCAAACCCAATAACAAAGCATTCATGAAACTCATCCATGAATACAGTCTATATGATACCTGGAGAACAAGACACCCATCCGAAAGAGAATATACATTCTTCTCGCAAGTACATAAAACCTACTCCAGAATTAACCACATCCTTGCATCTGGCTCACTACTACCACAAATAGAAGACTGCATAGTATGGTCTGACCATGCCCCACTAATTCTAACTATGCAAGACCACTACCAACACCGAGGTAAGCCCCCGTGGCGCCTCAACGACTCGCTCCTACACGACGTGCAATTCACAGCACAGCTGACTACAACCCTACAAGACTACTTCCACCATAATGACAACTCTGAACCCTCCATCTTCTCCATCTGGCAGGCCCACAAAACGGTCCTGAGGGGACTGCTGATAAGCTGAGCATCATGCCTCAAGCACCAATGCAACAAAGAATATACAGACCTACTCAGAAGGTTGAGAGACACGGCGACAACACACCTTTTAAACCCATCTGACACTCATGCTGAATCCATAAAACAAATCACCACACAAATTAACGCACTAACACTTCTGAAAACAGCCCATATTCTCACCAAACTGAAAATGAAAACATATACACAAGGCAACAAAGCAGGGAAACACCTGGCCAACTTACTCAGGCAAAAACAGGCCAACTACAAAATGCCACATCTGATCACAAACACAGGTGGGAAACTCCACAACCCACAAGACATCAACGATGGCATGGCAGACTACTACCACTCCCACTACAACCTAAAGACAGACCCCACACTACATCAACCCACCCCACAAGAAATAGACGACTTCCTCCAAACTACCACACTACCCATACTGACGACCGCACCGAAAGACATCATACAAAACCCCATCACCACGCAAGAAATAATTGACACTATCCAATCCCTCCCAAACGGGAAATCACCATGCCCAGACGGTCTGACCAACTCCTATTACAAACAATTCGCGACAATCCTGGCCCCTCAGCTACAGAATACATTTCACCATGCCTTACAAACAGGGACGATGCCATCAGAGATGCTCATGGCACACGTTGCCACGCTCCCCAAACCAGGGAAACCCCCAACCCACTGCCAAAATCTAAGGCCCATCTCTCTGTTGAACACAGACGTGAAAATTATCGCAAAGATATTCTCCAACAGACTGACTCCCATTATCAGCACAATCATAGGTGAGGATCAAGTGGGGTTTGTAGGGGGCAGGCAGGGAGCGGATGGCACACGTAAAACCGTAGACTTGTTATATGATATACAAGAAAAAAGAGTTCCCAGTGTCCTATTATGTCCTAAATGTCCTATTTGATTTCCCCGCCGCAGTTCCTATCACTAGTCACAGCACTATACTCCACCCCAACAGCACGTGTCATAAATGGGGGATTTATATCAAAACCATTTCATATCTCCAATGGCTCTAGACAAGGATGCCCACTTTCCCTGATACTCTACATCCTAGCGCTAGAGCCTCTCACCCAACTAATACGCAGTAATCCAAACATACATGGGATTAAGACCAGAGGCCGAGAATATAAATTATCTCTATTTGCCGATGACATTCTATTAACTCTTGAGCAGCCCAATATATCATTACCCAACTTCCATAAAACCCTTTCCCTATACAGTAAATGCTACTACTATAAACTGAACGTCGCAAAAACCCTAGCTCTAGGAATCAATATCCCCAGCCCAGACTTGACGACCCTAAAAACTAATTTCAATTATGACTGGAGGCACGACCACATCAAATTCTTAGCAGTCAACTTCACACCGATAACACACACGCTCTTCAAGGCGAACTACACTAAACTGATCACTGAAATCAAAATGTTGGAAGGAAAAATACATTTCGTGGACAGGCAGAATAGCCTCAGTAAAAAATGGTGATCCTACCAAAAATCCAGTACCTGCTTCATACACTCCCACTCACTCTCCCAAAAAAGTACCTGCTAGAACTGCAAAACATATTGAATGATTATATATGGGACCATGAGAAACCAAGAGTGGCAAGAACTACGATGTACAGACCGTTCACCCAAGGCGGAATAGGTCTGCCCGAGGTGGTGGGATACTATTGAGCGGCTCAAATTGCACCATTGTTAGCAATATCACACAGCTGTAACCTCATGGTGTGGGCCGAAATAGAGAAAAACCATGCAAGGGGACCCTCTCTACCACTTCTGGCATGGCTGCCAAAAAATCACAGACCAAAAAACCCTGAATTACTGCCAACCACCTTGCTAACCCTCTCCATATGGGATAACTATCGAAAGAAAATGGGTGCGACAGCACTATTGTCCCCAGCACTCCAAATAGAAGCACTATCATGATTTATTCCAGACTTCAACCACAAGCTCTGGCAAAGACACGGCGTGACAACTATGTCACAACTACTACAGGGCAACAAACTCAAGAAACTCTCAGATCTCAGAATAGAATTCAAGTTACCCTCCACGGCAACCTTTTCCTACCTGCAAATACAATCTTGGACAAACCTCCAACCAGTACAACAAATAGCACAGACACTGAACCCATATTGGACTAAAATAACGAAAATATGTACGGAGATCAAGCCAGCAACAAAACTTAAATCCACGATATAGGCTTCTGACACCCACTCACAGACGACCAATGGCAAAATATATACCGAGCTCACAAACGACTGACACTCTGCACAAACAACCTACAACTCTCATGCAAGCTACTTTACAGATAGTATCTAGTCCCCACAAGACTCAAGGACAGTTTCCCTGACACATCTGATACGTGCTGGAGATGCCAAACCAATAGAGGATTCCTAATACACATATGGTGGCAATGCCCACTGCTTAAACACTTCTGGTCACAAGTCTCAAACCTAGCGACCTGATGCCACACACACCTCCAGTACATGATATACTACATTCTCATTACAGCTCTCACTGTCATAAGCAGGCAGAGGAAGCAAACAACCACCCCAACGATCGGCCAATGCATAGAAGTGATCGAGCACACCAAAATATATGAAACTTTAGCACGAAAGACACGGCAGAGGAGCTGCCACTTGTCCACAGCATGGGACCTATGGGACAAACACAAATCCCACTGACATGACACACAATGTCACCACAGGCTGGGCTGAGAACCTCCACAACAGGAGGAAAAATACACCCAAACACATAATCCGAAATACGTAACCACTACGAAACCCAAACTGCACCCCCCACCTTAGATACCCCCTCCACCCTCCCTCCCCCCCCAACCTTGCACCACCACTGACAACACAGGCAGCATGCAAGGCCCTGGACCCAGACCTACAATGCCTTAAAGGACCACTATAGTGCCAGGAAAACATACTCGTTTTCCTGGCACTATAGTGCCCTGAGGGTGCCCCCATCCTCAGGTCCCCCTCCCGCCGGGCTCTATGGGGAAGAAGTGGTTAAACTTACCTCTTTCTCCAGCACCGGGCGGGGGACTCTCCTCTTCCTCTCTGCCTCCTCGTCTTAATGCTCATGCGCGGCACAATGCTTTCCTATGGATGCTGGCATCTTCTCACTGTGATTTTCACAGTGAGAAGCGCGGAAGCGCCTCTAGCGGCTGTCAACGAGACAGCCACTAGAGGCTGGATTAACCCTAATATAAACATAGCAGTTTCTCTGAAACTGCTATGTTTATAGAAAAAAGGGTGAAACCTAGCTGAACCAGGAACCCAGAACACTTCATTAAGCTGAAGTGGTCTGGGTGCCTATAGTGGTCCTTTAATTATCAATACCCAAGGTCATGACAAGCAAACGCTACAACCAAATGGTAGCAGAATGGCGCCCACGAGATATGTTCTAAGGCCACTGTTTAACCCAAGACCAAATGTCACATGTGTAAAGCTATAGCCCTTAACCACGTTATTGTACCTGTAACACTAACATGTGAACATCTTTATTATGAACCCTTATCCCTCTTACCTTCTGTACCCCATATAAGCTTGAAAAAAAAATTGTCAAATTAAAAAAAACAAAAACGTCATGTATAACTAAATAAATTAAAACATTTCTTATTTTCTCCCAATTTTTTCATATTAAATTATGTTTCATAGCTAAATATTTGATATTAAATGAAAGCTCTGTTTCCCCTGAATAAAATTATATATAATAAGTGTGGGTGCATTTAATATGAAAGAGATGAATTACAGTTGGACAGACATGTAGCGCAAATGCCAGGGTTAATCAATAACTCCTTTTTTATCCTGCTCTCCCACACTCTGGCTCTTTTATCTGCAAAAGTAAATTACTTCAACACCATCATAAGTAGACTGTCAAGCCAACCCTAATGCTTATTTCACACTTTTAATGCTCTCCTTCACCCTGTTGCTCCCCCTCCTCCTACCACCCTGTCCGCCTCAAACTTTGCAACTCACTTCACTGAGAAGGTTTCAACAATCAGGGAAAAGATCTCTAACCTCTCTCCCTCCCCTTCCAATACATCACCCAACTCCACTCACGCCACTGTTCTATGCTCATTCGCACCTACTACAACGGAAGAGGTTTCTGCTCTGCTCTGGTCCTCCCGCCCCACCACCTGTTCCGTTCGATTCCCTCATATCTCATCGGCACTCTGTCTCCCTCTCTTGATCTTCCGCTCACTAAAATTTTCAATCTCTCCCTTTCCTTCGGCACTTTTCCTTTACCCTTCAAGCATGCAACCATAACACCGATTCTGAAAAAGCCCAACTTTGACCCCAACTCTCCATCCAACTACTGCTCTATATCGCTACTGCCATTTGCCTCCAAAATCCTTGAGAAAGTTGTGTATGCGAGATTGACAGACTTCCTCGAATCCAACTCTCTGCTTGACCATCTCTCTGCTTAAGTCTGGATTCTGTACTCGTCACTCTATTGAAACAGCTGTGACCAAAGTATCCAACGATTTAATCACTGCTAAATCTCGTGGCCATTACTCTATCCTAATTCTCCTTGATCATTCTGCTGCCTTTGACAATGCCATCAACAGCTTCTTCTCATTCTCCATAATCTCGGTCTATGAGATACAGCTCTCTCCTGGTGCTCCTCCTACCTCTCCCAGTGCTTTTTCAGTGTTTCTTTCTCGGGCTTTGCCTTTTCTCCCCAACCCCTCTCTGTTGGCGTTCCCCAAGGTTTTGTCCTTGGTCCCCTACTGTTCTCCATCAATAATGCCTAACTTGGTAAACTCATCAGCTCCTTTGGCTTCCATTATCATTTACATGCAGAAGACACGCAAATCTACCTGTCCTCTCCTGATCTTTCTCCGCCCATCTTGACTCGTGTCTCTGACTTCCTCTCCACGATTTCCAACTGGATGGCTGCTCACTTCCTTAAACTCAACCTGTACAAAACAGAACTTCTGGTTCTGGTCAGAACTACCTCAAGTGTTGCTACTCCCATGTCTGTCTCCCTCCAAGTCAACGGTGCCACCATCACCTCTACCTTGCATGCTCGCTGCCTAGGTGTACTCTTTGACTCCGACCTCTCCTTCACCCCTCATGTCTAGTCGAACGCCAAATCCTGCCGCTTCCATCTCAAAAACATGGCTTGCATCCTCCCCTATTTAACACCAGACGCAGCTAAGGTGCTAGTCCATGCCGTTGTTCTTTCTTGCTTTGACTACTGCAATCACATTCTCAGTGGCCTTACTTGTTCCCAGATTGCACTGCAATCTACAATAAATGCAGCGGCCAGGCTCATTTTCCTGTCCACCTGCACCTCCCACGCCTCCTCCCTGTCAGTCCCTACATTGGCTTTCAGTTAGATATAGGGCTCACTTTAAGATTCTGGTGCTTGCTTACAAGTCCCTACCTAATGCTGCTCCAACCTACCTATTCTCCCTAATACACATGTATGTCCCGTCGAGGCCCC